TTTTTAAAACAGTTGCAAATAGGCATACCATTTGGCCCAGCAATTCCACTACTGGGAATATACCCCAAAGAGACCATAACTGACATCCAAGCAGATATACACACACCCATGTTTATTGCGTCTTTGTTCACAATAGCAAGGAGTTGGAAACAACCTAGGTGCCCATCAACAAATGAATGGATAGAGAAGCTGTGGTATATACTATGCTGCATTGAAAAACAAAGAACTCATGCAATATTATTCAAAATGGGTGACACTGCAGGATATTATGCTGAGTGAAGTATCTCAGTCAGAAAAGGACAAATACTGCATAGCGCCACTGTTGTAAAACAGGACTGACCTCAGGGTGGGGGGGAGACTGAGAAAGATGGGTTCAATAATGTATACTGCATTGAAACAGATGAGGGAGAAAACTGTTTAAAAGGGTATGTGATTAGGTATTTTTGTCATGACAGGAGTCTAGAACGAAGGATACACAGTGGAGTCGACCTGGGGGAGGGTTTGTAAGACAATGAAAGAACTTTACTTTTCCAAGACAGTAGTGTACTGGTGGGGGGAGGCTTGGGAGGAGAGAAAAGTGCAACAATGAATGAACTGAAATCTAAAGTCTCCGTAAATTTTTACTGAAATTAATAAATTTAAATATTAAACAAAACAAAACAAGAAAGAATTTAAAGTAAAAAAAAAAAGTAGCAACTTCATCATGCCACATTTCTTCTAAAGATTCTTCAAGGGTGTTTCATGCCACTCAATTAAGACATAAAGTGACTTCAATTGTGGTGTAAGATTACACAAACTTAGGAGATAGGAAGTTGTTCTTCCATGATAGGATCTTGTTTTATTTACTCTCTTGTACTGCACATAACAACAACTGCTATAATAATAACACAAAAGGTGGCACAATGGTTCTTTTTTTTTCTATAATTATATTTTATTAATTTTCATAAACATTTACAGAGATTTTGGGTTTCCATTCATTCATTGTTGCACTATTCTCTCTACCCTCCTCCCAGTTTGTTCTTGTCCAAATGCCACAGTGCTTGTCAAAGCCAGTTCTGATTAATCTTCTTTGTCAGTGTGTCCTTTGCCATTCCCTATCACTCCTCCCTGAGAGAGACTTCTCCCTGAGTCATAAGGAAAAGGGGACGGCGTATTCTCTTAGCTACTTCCTGCTGAAAAGGGACGCTGTGGGTTTCAGGGTGAAGATCTTCTCTCACTACTCTAAAGGGCCCCTTTGGCAGTAGGAAACACATAGACTATTATGGAGATTGATTTTGGAATTCAGATGCACTCTTATTGATTGTGCTTGGCTGTACATGTACATATCCTTCAAGATGTATCATGGGGGTGTTGCAACCTAGAAGACACAAATTTGACTAACAAGTTATAAGTACATGAGTCCAAAAATTATGGAAAAGTAAAAGAAAAGATTCTTTCATTGTTTTACAAACACTCCCCCAGGTCCCCTCCCCCATGTAGCCCTCGCTCTAGTCTCCTGTGATGACAGAAATACCCAGTTACATCTCTCTTTTAGACGGTTCTCTCCCTCCTCTGTTTCAGTGCAGTATACATTACTGAACTCATCTTACTCAGTCTCTCCCCAACCCCAAGGACAGTCTCATTCTACAACAGTGGCATCATGTAATATTTGTCCTTTTGTGACTGGGATATTTCACTCAGCATGTTCTCCAGAGTCAACCATTTTGAATAATATTGCATGAGTTCCTTGTTTTTTAATGCAGCATAGTATTCCATTGTGCGAATATACCACAGCTTCTCTAGCCATTCGTTTGTTGATGGGCACTTAGGTTGTTTCCAACTCCTTGCTATTGTGAACAAAGCTGCAATAAACATGGGTGTGCATATATCTGCTTGGATGTCAGCTATGGTCTCTTCAGGGTATATTCCCAGTAGTGGAATTGCTGGGTCAAATGGTATCTCTATTTGCAACTTTTTGAGAAAGCGCCATACTGCTTTCCACAGGGATTGCACCATTTTACACTCCCACCAACAGTGAATCAGGGTTCCAGTTTCTCCACAACCTCGCCAGCATTTGTTGCTTGCTGTTCTGTTAAATTTTGCTATTTTGACTGGGGTGAAATGATATCTCATAGTTGTTTTAATTTGCATCTCTCTTAGGGCTAGGGATTTTGAGCATTTCTTCATGTGTTTGTTAGCCATCTGAATGTCGTCTTCGGTGAAGTGCCTGTTCATATCCTGTGCCCATTTTTCTATTGGATTATTTACCTTTATCTTGTTGTGGTGCTCAAGTATTTCATAAATTCTGGATATAAGTCCCTTATCTGATATGTTATTACCGAATACTTTTTCCCAGTCAGTGGCTTCCCTTTTTACCCTACTGGAGAAGTTTTTGGATGTGCATATGGATTTGAGTCTTAGAAGGTCCCATTCATCTATGTTATCTTCTCCTGGTTGTAGCTTTTCCAGGATACTGGGAAGACTGTTTATGTTGTGGATTAGGACTTCTAGTGTTGTTCCTAGCTTTTCTGTAATGAATTTCATAGTCCTTGGTTTTAGTCCTAGGTCCATGATCCACCTTGAGTTGGTTTTTGTGTATGGAGTGAGGTGTGGGTCTTGCTTGAGTCTTTTGCAGATATTTTTCCAATTTTGCCAACACCATTTGTTAAAAAGGCTGTCGTTCCCCCACTTCACTGATTTCATCTCCTTGTCAAAGATCAGTTGACCATAGATAGATGGGTTGATCTCTGGATTCTCAATTCGATTCCATTGATCTATGTGTCTGTCATTGTACCAGTACCATGCTGTCTTGACCACTATGGCAGTGTAGTAGGATTTGAAATCAGGGAGTGAGATACCTCCTACCGTTCTTGTATTCTTAAGGAGGCACAATGCTTCTTTCTGATGTTAAATATTATATTGAGTCTACTCCTCTCCTGATTAAGCAAGTGATGCTTGACAAATCATTCACTCAGCAGTTCAATTAAGTTCATTCATCTTGTGGTCTAGTATTTGACTTTTAGTATCAGATCAGAACTCAATATGGATTACATCTCAATATCAAGTAAACAAATTTTTATTTTTTTGGCACTGTCGGAATAAGCAATATTGTGATGGATGAAGAAAGGACCAAGATTGTCAATTACTTCATCTTATTTAGATCAACAATCAATACCCCTATTACTAGTAGTCAGTATATCAGAAGACATATTGCACTGGGAAAGTCTATATTCAGGGACTTCTCTAAATGATTGTGGAGTAATGATGTCAGTTTGAGTACTGTGCCTGATCCAGGCCATGGTCTTTTCAGTAATTTGTTATGCGTCCGAGAGCTGGACAATGAATAAGGATGATTGAAGAAGAATTGATGCTTTTGAACTGTGGTGTTGGAGAAGAGTGCTCAGAATCCTTTGGACTATCGAAACAGATATGGCTTGGAAAAGGTTCAACCAGAGCGCTACTTGGAGACAAAGATGGTGAAGCTTTGTCTCATACATTTTGGGTAATGTTGCTAGATGTTATTCTCTGGAAAGAGACATCATGGTTAGGAAGGCAGAAGGGCAGTGATAAAGTGGAACACTCTCCACCAGATGGATTGACACTGTGACTGTGGCAAAGGGCTGGCGTGTGTCAGAGATTATGAGGATAGTAAAGGATAGAACAATGTTCAGATAGGTTGTTCATAGGGTCACAATGTGTCGTACTCTACTTGATGGCGTCTAACAACAACAGCAGCAGCAACAATAAGGTAAAGAGAAGTAAAGATTCACTTAGAGCCCGAGTAAATTTTAACAGTGGAGAAAAAGATAAAATTTATGTTATTACTATTATCTGTCATTTTTGCTTTTCTACTGCTGTACTTTATTAGTATAAATACTACCACATAGTTCTTGGCACTTAAAAAAATATCAATAATTTAGAAAGTGATTTTAACAGCAATCCTGAAGGTTCACTGTTCAAATCCACCAGATTCTCTGCTGTAGAAGGAGGGATATTCTCCCCCTGTGCCAGTCAGATCTGATTTGATGGTACACAACCAGAAGAGAAAATATTTTTTTAAAAAAAAGAATGTGATTTTATTTGTTTAATGCTGATTTAATTATAAAAGAGGCATGTTCAGAGTAAAAATATTCCTTTGAATTTTAATGTGTGTGTGTGTGTGTGTGTGTGTGTGTGTTTCCCTCTTGTAGGCAAGACTCAGCACCGGATGATGAACTTACTAAGTTTTTTATATGTCACAAAAATTCTATGCATAACTGTTGAAACAACTTTTTACTTTATGTGTGTTAGGCTTTTTTACTTTTTTCATCCATTATTTTAGTGCCACCTGGGGGCATGGTTTCTAGTTGACTAAACTGCATACATGTGGCTCATCTCCAGCATCATAAACAGCTGTGAGGCCAACATTAGAGAGCGAACCAGGCTGATGAGAGATTGTAGCAAGATATGTCTATATACAGAGTCAGAGGATTTGCTTGCTGGCCAGACGGAGGCACATGAAGATAGATCCAGAGGTTTTACTTGCTGGATGATTGAAACGTAAGCTAATTTGAGACAGCTGTGAGAAGAAGCTTGCTGGATGATTGAGGAAACCAGAAGTTTCTCCCATTTGTGTTGCTGTAATAAACCTGAACTCTCACTGTGTGCTATTCTTTGACTTCTCCCTCTCCTCCCTCAACCTACTGCCTAATAAATCCTACAACTTTTGTAACAAATATTGTACCCAGAAGTAGGAGAAGTAAATGCAGCAGAGCAGAAGAGACATGCATGACCTTTTAGCTACCATTTTGGTACTGTGGATGTAACTGATAGGAAGAGTTTCCATTTATAAAGTTAGCCACGGTTGAACTCAGGCGTCCACATGTTATCCTTGCTCCTTTTACAGCCGAAGAAAATTCAGAAAGGGTTAAAATACTAAGCACACTTTAATAGATGCGGGAAAAAATCTGTGAAAAAAGATTGAGGAGATTGTATGGGGGAAAGTGTGATAAAAGGTCATCAGGTTTCCTCTGGTTGAATCTCTAAGCATTATTGGATGTTACTTTATGAGCAGATGAACACCGTGCAAATACTTTTTTTAATGCCCCCATAACATCCTTATTCCTGAGGCTGTAGATCAGAGGGTTGAGCATAGGTGTGATGATGGTGTAGAAAGCTGACACTACCTTGTCTTGCTCAGGGGTGTGGAATGACTGGGGCAGCACATAGGTGTAGAAGGCAGCCCCATAGAAAATGCTGACCACAGTCAAGTGAGATGAGCAAGTGGTAAAAGCTTTTTTCCGGCCTTCTGCAGAGCGCATGCGGTGGACTGTTAACAAGATGAGAGAGTAGGAAGTGGAGATGATAGAGATTGGGATGAGCAGCATGAGTACACAGCAGATGTACATCAGAGTTTCGTACAATGATGTGTCTGCACAGGCTAGTCTTAGAACTGCAGGGATTTCACAGAAGAAATGGTTGATGTTGCGGGAGCCACAATAGGGGACATTCATGGTGATGGGAGTGAGCAAAAAGCCATCAAGAGACCCACCAAACCAGGCACCAGCAGCCAGAAGGAGACATACCTTGCGGTTCATCAGGACTGGATACCGGAGTGGGTTACAGACGGCCACATAGCGGTCATAGGCCATCAGGCCTAGAAGAAAGAACTCTGAACCAATCATGGTCAAATAAAGAAATATTTGGATGCCACAGCCCACGAAGGAAATGGTCTTCTCTTGTGATACCATGTCAACTAAGAGCTTTGGGACAGTCGTACAAATGAAAAGAGTGTCCATGATAGACAACTGGCTGAGCAAAAAGTACATAGGTGTGTGGAGGCGGGAGTCCACCTGAATCAAAAATATCATCATCAAATTTGCAGTTACAGCCACCACGAAAATAGCAAGAATCACTGTGAAGACAAATCCTGTCATCCGGCTGCTCACCAGAAGCCCCAAGAGGATAAAATCAGAAGTTGAAGTGCCGTTCTTCATTGCCAGAGTCTAGGACAAATCCAAGTGAACAGAAGTCACAAAAACCAGAAAAGAAAGTGAGATGTTGAGCAAGGGAGAAAACTACCATGGAGATGACGCCTCAGAGAATATATTGTTCCAGATAAATTATTCCAGGATGGAACACTAAAGAAATCAAGCTAATCAAGCAGCATTGAAAATGGCTCAAATTCTTATTGAAGAATATATATATATCCCAATGGAATGACACAGTAACTGGGATAATGGACGTAGATATGTCAGTGAATGAGACCAGATAAGGATCAGTCAGGATTCAGAGCATTTGTACACAGAGTCACTATGGGTTGCAGATTACTCAATATCACATAACAACATAAATAAACAAATAACATGAGAAATCTCTCATTTTTCCATCTTTCTCCCATGGAGATATTGATAAATTCAAATCAAGTGCCTTCGGATTGGCAATGCAACTCCTTACCACCAGGCCACCAGAGTTCTTCTTTAATATGTATATGTAGACCAAGGTAATGATGTTTGCTTACAGGGAGTAAAGTTTTAACTGATCTACTTGTATTTCAGTGATTTGCTTAATTATCTTCAAAAACCCTTCACTGCCATCCGGTCAGAACCAACTCTTAGCTGACCTTCCAGCCAGCTTTGAGAGGCTGCAAATTACATGGAAGGAGACTGGCCAGTTTATTCCCTCAAAGCAGCTAACGGATTCAAACCACTTCCTTTGGGGTTGAGAGTATAACTCCTTACTCATTAGGCCACCAGAGTTTCATTACCACAAAGTATAGTTCAGGCAAAGATTGGATGATTAATTAACTGATTGATTGAAAACTAAAAGAGAGTAAAATAAATAACAGGCAATTATCAGTTTATGCATTTGTTGGAGCTTCATGTTGTTTGGCTATTCTGCTGTTCTTGCTTTCCTTTTTACCATTTTTTTGGTTGTGCCTAAATGTGAATCATCTCATAGTTGCTTCCACTACCTCATTATCCTCCCAGCACATCAGCCTTGAAATTGTTTCTTGATTTTATCATTTATGTGCAACACATCTTCCAGAATAAAAGCCCTTAAAAGGAAGATATTATTCCTAAGGTGATTCCCTGCATTGTCTTCATTGCTATTGTAGGCTTAGGAGGGAAACAAATACAATTAAGAAGAAAAACTGGTTTCTTAAAGCCATTTTCAAAAGATACACTGAAAGAAGAAATTAACTGAGCAAGATGCCTGCCTATGCTTATCTCTGCTTGCTTCTATGGACCTGATTGTAAACTGTGAATAAGAAGGTGGTAACAACAGGCTAACACTCAGAAAAATATTTTCATGACTATTTTTTTCTTGATGGAACAATAATTTGAGTGTTTAAATTGAAAAGAAAATAATAAATCCAGTAATACACGTATTTCCCTCAAATGTAGATCTTATTGTCCTGAGAAAGGTAATGTGTGTAAAAAGGAAAGTCTGATCAAGGGGAAAACATATGCACTACAATTTTACTGTTTGTACCCTTGCTACAGACAACAACATACTATATGTCCTACTATGTAGGATTGTTGCAATAAATAAAAAAAATAAAAGATATTGTTAATTTTTGTAAATATACACGTGGATGATAGACAACATGCTTATGATGAAACAAATAAATAAAATAAATTTCTGTTTGCATGCACATTTAACAGGTGCTCTGGTGGATTAGTCCTTAGAGAGTTATGCTGCTAACCTGAGGTGGGTTATCTCTGGAGCTTCGCATTTACCTGCAGCTCAGGGGAGACAGATGAGCAATCTCACCCCGTGTAACTGACAGCCTCTTAAACTTGTTGTAGGGTCAACTATGAGTTAATCCTGATTCAAGCAATGGTGAGAGTGAATAATCCACTTTGGTATTCTTTTACATACTGGAAATTTATTTTTGGTATTAAAAAAGGATAAAAAATAGTAGCAACAAAATAGTATCAAAGAGAATAGTAATAATAATGAAAAGTGACCTATAAAATCAGGAAAGACTAATCTGTAAAACCTAAAGCTAACCTATGAAGTGATTTTCATTTTTATTGACTGTGTGTACCTTGAGTCAATTCTGACTCAAATCAACATTATAAGACAAAGCAGAAATTCCCATATAATTTCCTATAAAACTTTTATGAGAGTAGATTATCTTTTCTTTCTCTGAGCAACTTATGTGTTTGAACCAGTGTAAAAAAGAAATTACCGGGGTGGCGAGGCGGTGGCGTTCTGCGCGCGACCTTCAGCGCTCTTGGCCGACTGGCTTGGCGTGCTAGCCCAGGTTCCCCTCGACACACACCGCGCGTGCCCCTGTCCCCGCCACCCCCCAAAAGAAAAAAAAAAAAGAAAAAAAAATTACCTCAGTGCAAATCTCCCTTTGACTACTGTGGTCAAGTTGCTCTGTAATTTAGCACTAAGTTATTTTTTTATTTATCAATCCTCCCCAAATACATTATTGACAAATTTCTGATATCAAATGACAATGATTCTCAATTTAGTGATCCATTAAATTCCATTCTATTTCCCCAAAGCATTTTGGTAATTAAACTGATCAAATAATGCAGTCCATAGTTAATTTAAGTTCTATTTTATTCTAAAAAAACCAAAACCTTTTAGTAAATGTAAGTCATTCTGATGATTTAGTAGCAAGGAGCTGTGCTGTCGACACAAAGGTACTTAGTTCAAATCCATCAGGCACACTGATGGAAGACAGGCAATTTCCTTCTATGTAATTGATGTCCCACTGGAGAATAAGCTATGACTTGTTTCAGACTCCATGGTACATAACAATAACAACAATAATCTCTTCTAAGGAAATGGGATGATTTTTCTTCTATAATATATAAAACTCCAAAATCATTGCCAATGAGTCAGAATTGACTCATAGCTGATATTCCAACAGGTTTTCAGGAGTCTGTGAATTGCATGGGTAGATATTCCATATCTTACTCCTGAGGAGCTTCTAGTGAATTTAAATCACAGGTAAGGCACCACTTTATTGTCATACATGTTGTTGTTATGTCTTATTGAGTCACTTGTGACTCACAGCGACCCTGTGTATGACAGCCCTAAACTCTGCTCTATCCTGTGCCAATCTTATTATCTCTGACACACCTACCCCATTTCCCCAGTCACATATGAAATGAAAATATTTTACCCTGAAAGTTTTTTTTTTTCTTTTTTTTTTCTATAATTATATTTTATTAATTTTCATAAACATTTACAGAGATTTTGGGCTTCCACTCATTCATTGTTGCACTATTCTCTCTACCCTCCTCCCAGTTTGTTCTTGTCCAAATGCCACAGTGCTTGTCAAAGCCAGTTCTGATTAATCTTCTTTGTCAGTGTATCCTTTGCCATTCACCCTGAGTCATAAGGAAAAGGGGACGGCGTATTCTCTTAGCTACTTCCTGCTGAAAAGGGACGCTGTGGGTTTCAGGGTGAAGATCTTCTCTCACTACTCTAAAGGACCCCTTTGGCAGTAGGAAACACATAGACTATTATGGAGATTGATTTTGGAATTCAGATGCACTCTTATTGATTGTGCTTGGCTGTACATGTACATATCCTTCAAGATGACCCTGAAAGTTTAAAATAGTTTAAACTAAATTAGTACCCATATTTATGCCTTCCATCTGGATAGCTTTGTTCACACCATGGTTGTGTTTTATCTGGGTTGTTCCAGTGGAATTCCTTCTAACCCCTGCTCTCTCTGTGTCCATTTAGTCTGGTAACAAAACGACCTATGAAAATCTGTCTCTGATCAAGTTACTCTGTTAAACATCCGCAATGATGTCTTTATTTTGTGCTTTAGAACTCCTTATTTGACCTAATGCCTCTCTTCCTGCCTGGTCTTCACATATTAATATCAGTGTGAATAGTAATTTCCACAAGTACTTTACATTTTAGCTCAAAAGTCACTTTCTGAAAGTAGGCGGTATCCCTGGCAGCATTCTAAAGAAATCACAATAGAAGGTACTAAACACAAAAGGAAAAAGGTGGAAAAAAGTTAAAAAGCAAACCAAAAAAAGTTGGATTATTTGGTCCATTAGAAATTGTAGAGTCCCTAAGATTATAACCCTTTGTCACTTTTGAATCAAACAAAAATTCACATTTAGGCTCAACTTTTAGCTTAACAACAGACAAGACTATGAGGTAATCAATAATATTAGGGGGGTAGTCAATGATTAGAATAATCAACCATGATGGGTAAGAAGAGTTGCAAGCTCAAATATAAAATCCAGAATGCAGGAAGAGGGAAGATAGAAGGATTTGTAGCAATGAGAACTCTAGGGAAGAAATGGGGAAAGTGATTACAGTGTTATAATAAATATTATTACTGTTGAGCAAAATACACATGAATAGCTAAATGGAAAACCTATAATTTTTATAAAATTTCATGCAAATCATAAGAAGAAATAAAATTTTGCTCAAAAGGATTAAGTTAGCCAGCATAATTTAAATTAAACTAACTCACTGCTTCCTCGTTCTTTTCAATTTGCCTTTGTTGTGGTAGATCTTCATTCAAGTATGCCCCAAGTATTGTCTACAAAATAACTGGAGCTTCAAATGCTGTTTTCCATCAGGATTTTATTATAGTTATCAATCATGTAGTTTAAATTCACCCTATATTGAATAAATAAAAGAAAATAATCATTAAGCATGATTTGATGCCATAGAAAATTTCCTTACACTTTTAATTATCAGGAAACAAATGTTCAAAAACTATTTAACATTAAATTAATATTATTAAATTTAAAAATACAATAATAGACCTGGTATTAAATAAATCCTGTTGTGGCAGACAGAATATTAGCCCTAAAAGTCCTTTTTCTGGACTTCTTATGAAGATAACATCTAAAGCGAAGAAAGAAGTCTCTGGCCCTCCCAAAACTAAAGCTAAAGTAAGGGCATTAAAGACCAAGCAAGCAGTTCTGAAGAGGACCCACAGCTCCAAATATAAAAAGCAATCCCCTAAAACCCCAAGACAAAAAAGATCCATACATCACCCACCTCCTAGCATCCTAAGACACTGAGTCTCAGAAGTCAGACTAAATACTCCTAGAAGATATACCCTAGGAGAAACAAACTTGACCACTATGCCATTATCATGTTTGCCCTGACCACTGAATCAGTTATTAAGATAGAAGAATTAACAACTCACTTGTGCTCATTGTGGATGTAAATGCCAACAAGCACCAAGTCAAATAAGCTGTAAAGAAGTTCTATGATATTGATTTGGCCCAAGTCAGCATTTTGATTAGGACTGATGTAAAGAAGAAGGTCTATGTACTTATTCCTATGATGCTTTTTTAATATTGTCAGTAAAATTGGGATCATCTAAACTGAGTCAAGCTGGATAATTCTAAATATAATTTTTTCCTCTTACACTAAAAATGTCCATGTTATAATACTATGAATATACTAGTTTAAAAAGGTAAAGGGGTTTTAAAGATATGAATAAATTAGAATTGTGAAAGATTATCCTTCGTTTTTTTGTGAGTCCATGGCCACAGCTTTTTTTAAAATTCTTTTATTATTGTTATTGTTAATTTCAATGAACATCTACAGAGATTTTGGAATTCCATTCATTCATTGTTGAACTTTTCTC